AGGGCCGTGCGCCCGCCCCTCCCCCTGCCGGGGTGCGGAGGAGAATGGGGAGAACCAGGCAGAAACGGGTGGGTGGGAGAAGGGCGGTCTGACAGCAGCGAACAGAGGGAGCAGGAACAGCAACGACACCGATCAGGGGAGGAACGACGCCAACGGCAGAGCCCACAGCGCAGCTGTGCCATGCCCTCCCCAGCCCCCTCAGCCTTCCCGCCGCCCTGCTCCCGCCAATCACAACCCGGCATGGTGGCACGTGGTATGGAACACCCTGCTCTGATTGGCCAGGGTGGGTCCGCCCGCCCAGCTGTGCCCCCTGCTGGCTCCCGGTGAGAATTAACCCTGTCCTGGCCGAGCCCGGGACACACCCCCAAATCAGCATCTGCCCTTTTTGGTCCTCAAATGTTTTCCTCCCCAGGAGAAACCCCATACATGTGGGACAAGAGGAGATGGACTTGACTTTGGTGTAAATCCCCAGTCATTTCTAAGAAACATTCATCTCCACCGGAGCAGGGCACGTTTGACTTCAGCACAAACCTATCGCGTCTGTGAAGTCTCAGCTGCTGGAGGTGGGTGATTGGTGCTCCAACACCAGGCACTTTTAAGCCCTCCTATCTGCAGGAGCCAGCTGAAAAGCACGGCCTAAATGTATCCCAAGCACTTAAAATCCAAAATGCTGCTATGAAGGTACCAGCTCTGATTATTTTCCTAAAATCTCATGGTCTTTATACTAACCTTTTAATTTTTTAGGACCTGACTCATAAGAAAAAATCTTCTAACGGAGCAGTGGCTTCACAGTCCTGGGGGCTGCAATTTCCTTCCCAGTTTCAGAAGTGCAGAAGGACTTGGGGGTACTGGTGGACAAGAAGCTCAACATGAGCTGGCAATGTGCGCTGGCAGCCCAGAAAGCCAACCGTATCCTGGGCTGCATCAAGAGCAACATGGCCAGCAGGGCGAGGGAGGGGATTCTGCCCCTTTACTCCACTCTCCTGAGACCCCACCTGGAGTCCTGGGTCCAGCTCTGGAGCCCCCAACATAAGAAGGCACATGGATGTGTTGGAGCAGGTCCAGAGGAGGCCACGGAGCTGATCCGAGGGCTGGAGCACCTCTCCTACGAGGACAGGCTGAGGGGGCTGAGCTGGGTCGGCTGCCTCCCTGGCAGGGTTCAAGGCCAGGGTGGATGGAGCTCTGAGCAACCTGGGGTGGTGGAAGATGTCCCTGCTCATGGCAGGGGGGTTGGAACCAGATGATCTTTAAGGTCCCTTCCAACCCAAATCATTCTATGAGTCACGAGGCTTTGGCAGTGACTGTATTTCCCTGTACCCTGCCTTCAGATCCCGTCTTCTGTGCCAGCTCTCATCATGTTTGCTTTTTATTCATAATTTAAAGCAGACTATATAAAGACAGGCAGGAGTGCACGTTTTTATGATTTCTATAAAATACATTGACTAAGCAGATGCAGCGGCAGTCCTACTGCGGTCATGCTGCTCTGAGCAAAGCAAAGCTGGGGGTAGATGTAATATCTTTTATTAGACCAACTAATATAGTTGGGAGAACCAGACAAGCTGTCAGGCACATGCTGCCTTCTCCATACCTGCACGTGATATGTATATAGATATATGTATGTGATACAGATACATACAGATCCTGTTCCGACAGGGTTATGAAAAGCAGGAACGTGTCACAAACTCCTTGAAGATGGACAGAAGGCCCCGATGCCCTACACAAACACACTGCTGGGTTTCAGCTATTCCTTCCTCTGCAAGGGCAGGTCCTCCCAACACTGTCCCCTGGCCCAGCAGGTTTTGGGGGCACTGAGGAGTTTCGCACCTCACCAGCGCTCAGGAGCCGGTTAGGGAACAGGGCTGCAAAACCAGTTTAGGGCAGTTCAGGTAAAAATAGCTTTAACACATGATCTGAGTTGCCAAACTTACCTTGAAGAGCTGTTTCTCCACATCGTCATGGACTAAGTCAATGCCCATCCTCTTCTCCCGGTGAAACAAGCGCTTCTGAGCGACCTGTTGGGGACATGCCATCTCAGCTGCCTGCAGGGACAGGCTTCCCTATAGAAGAGGTCCCCATCTCAAGAAATATAAGAGAAGAAATTATAGGTGGGCACAACAGGGGAAAAAAGCACCCAGGTCAGCTGGTTTAGCTGACAACGAGCAGCCGAGAGGCAACAGCAGCATTACATCAACATGAGGGAGCACACGTATCCCTGGCCAATGGAATCCTGGGGTGCATTAGGAGGATTGTGGCCAGCAGGTCGAGGGAGGTTCTCCTCCCCCTCTACTCTGCCCTAGGGAGGCCCCATCTGCAGTGCTGTGTCCAGTTCTGGGCTCCCATGAGGAGCTACTGGAGAGAGTCCAGCGGAGGGCTACGAGGATGATGAGGGGACTGGAGCATCTCTCCTACGAGGAAAGGCTGAGGGAGCTGGGCTTGTTCAGCCTGGAGAAGAGAAGGCTGAGAGGGGACCTTAGAAATGCCTCTAAATATCTAAAGGGTGGGTGTCAGGAGGATGGGGCCAGACTCTTTTCAGTAGTGCCCAGCGACAGGACAAGGGTCAACGGGCACAAACTGAAGCATAGGAAGTTCCAGCTAAACATGAGGAAGAACTTCTTCAGTCTTAGGGTGACGGAGCCCTGGCACAGGCTGTCCAGGGAGGTTGTGGAGTCTCCTTCTCTGGAGATATTCAAGGCCCTCCTAGACAAGGTCCTTTGCAGCCTGCTGTAGTGACCCTGCTTCGGCAGGGGGGTTGTACCAGATGATCCCCAAATGTCCCTTCCAACCCCCGCCGTTCTGTGATTCTGTGTCATCCTTGATGCTGACCTTGCCAGAACCTCATGGTAGGACATGGGCTTTTGTCTCCCAAACCAGGATTTTGGATATACCACTTATAAAAATATTTGGTTAAGCAAATGCTGTTCTGAAGTGCTCAGCATGTGTGGACAGGGGATGCAGCAGATGGCAAGGGATTTGTTTATTACTAACTTAACTAATGGTCTCTTAATAAAAACTTTCTAGACGTTACAGAGATGCAATGAAACTTAATTAGACATTTGAATGGCTGCAGATGTTTCAGCAGTAGGCTACAGCTTGCAGCGCACTGGACACGGTGCTTACCTGGAGAGGGGCCTCCATCTCGGCCAAGGCTCTCTCCAGTAATTTCTTCATGTCCGTGAGTGCGTTGGTCACCCCAATCATCTTTTCCAGATCATGGCAGAGTTCCAGTTTCCAAAATTCAGTATCATTGACACATTGTCCCAGGTTTTTGGTGCTTTCTACTTGGGTTTTCTTTGTCTGTTGATACTTCTCCTGGATCAGGCAGCAGTATCATCTCTCAGACGCTCCGCATTGTGCCGGGAAGTCTCCGACTCTTTGTAGTTGGTCAGGTTGGACCTGTACCAGTCATCAGGGGTGTACCGGGTGAAGAGGGTTGTTCTGTTGGAAACGCAAGGAAGCATCTTGCTGGGCGTTAACCCCTGGGAGCTTTTGGAAAAGGAAGCCAAAGTTGGGCTGATGGCAGCTGTTTTGTAGTAGGTGCTGGGCATCCAGGGAAGGCTGAAGCTCTGAAGCAAGGGGTAAGTGAGGAAAACGGTTCTCATAGCTTGAAGCCATGGTGCTGATGGGAGGCAGAAAGTTGGTAGGTTTTGATCTTGGATGGGCATATTTTGCCGTTAAGGGAGAGCCAACAAACTCCATTCTCAAACGCCGCTTAGGTACACGTCCTACGCAAAGGAGACAAAAGATGACAACCTCACTCAGTGAGCTCCTGCACTTACATTACTTCTTAGAGCAACTCATGCAACCTACAACACAAACAGCAATGCACACAGCACCCACACATTGCCCGTACAGGCCTAAAATTCTTGAAAGCAAATCCCTTCTGATAGCATCCCAAGCACTTGTTCATATAGGGATTTGTCTTTGTTGTTAGCATCTAGCATCAGGTCTTGAAATGCGGACAGAAGCAAATCATGGCTGCTGAGAAGAATGACAGGCATTATGCCTTCGTTTTCCTTCAATCTGTCAATCTGGTGAAGCTGTAGTTGCTGATTCTCTGCTGTTCATTTGTTTCTATTGGCTTGGCCACTGTGTCTGCTGATGGTATAGTATTCCAGATGTGATTTTCTCTTTATAAGTTCCATTACCAGCCCCAATAGCTTTGGACACACAGGTGCTACCACCCCAGAGTGAAATGTGGGTGAGGGACTCCATCCCCATCACCTCTATCTTCACTCGCATTAAATGCTCGTCTGCGGGTGAGCTGAGCCTTGCAAGAATATATCAAAATTTGAAAAAAAACTCATCTATTTCAACCTGAAAAGATCAGCCATCTCTTAACTTACAGGGGAAGAAAAGTGCATACGGCTCACCTGACGTAGAGTAAATGTGCTTGGAAGGAAGATATCCCACAAAGTCTTTTCAGAGTGGTTTGTAAATGCCAGCCTTCCAGCGACCCTAGGAGGAATGGCCACACAGGAAGGTCTCGCTACCAGTAGCTGCATACTGTGGGTGCTATTGCTCTTGTCAAATTGAAGCTATCAGTCAATTGTTTTCAGAAATACAACACAGAGGGCCACCAAATGCACCTAACACACCTAATCTGAGGACAAAGCTATCAGTCAATTGTTTTCAGAAATACAACGCAGAGGGCCACCAAACACACCTAACACACCTAATCTGAGGACAAACACTCAGGAGGGCATGTTGCGCTCGGTGTGAAGCTCTTGTAAGGTTGCAAGTGTCACCCACTGGCAGAAATCGGTCCCCGTGGCTGTCGTAGCCAGTTGCTGTGTTGCAGAGACGCACCCTTCCCCTAACACCATCCTGTCCCCACTGCTCCCAGCCTGGCTCGAGCCCCGGTGAAAGGACACTGGTGTGCTACAAGATTCCTGGACGGGAGGGGGGTTTGACAGGAAGCATGTGCTAAATCTTATTTGTTACAGCATCAAATCAACTGTATTCCTTTAAAAATGGGATGTTTGCATGAAATAAACTCACTTTTATTCTAGAACAAAGCATCCACAGAAGCAATCACATGACTAGAGCTTTAATTGCTCCTCCTGGGCTACCTCGATCACTCTGCATGTGTAGGCGAGCTGAGAGAGACTGGCCTATTTTTAAAGTAATAAAACCCTTGGGAAAGAAAGCTTCTTTCATTTTAGTCACCTCTGCAACAAAGAATGCCTCTTTCTGCACAAGGGCAGGGCCAAGGACTCACTTTCCTACTGGAAAGCTGAAAAGGCAATGGATGGGAGACAGGACCCAGAGACGGGCAGGCTCTGCCTGTGAGCTGCTGTTACCGTACACCGGTGGTAACCCTCTTCAACACCAAACGTTCAAGCCGTGGACTCTCTTGGAGCTGTGCCCCTTTGCACCGGGTGATGAGCCGACAACACAATTCATTAAACCGCACATTTTCCAACCGCTAACCATGAGGACAAGTGACCTCAGAGACTTTTTGTGTCACCGGTGCCTGTAACAGTTTGATGCATTCGGATGAACAGTGCCTCAAAATGCAGCTATTAAATAAATGACAGGCAAATACAGGAAAATAACAGGTCCTTTAGCTAGGGCAAATCAGAGAAAAATAGGGATGAGTCAGAGGGGAAAAGTGCACAGCCTGCAGCTGGAAAATCGTTGAACTATGAGGACTATATTTTCAAGCCTTGCCCAATTTTGGCCATGCTGGCGTGGGCAGTCCCGGTACCTGACTTGAAAGCAGCAGCATAGCTGCGGGCACCGCGTCTCCCCCCAGGACCCAGCCTGGCCGAAGAGGCTCTGGATAGGCAGCAGGAAACTCACACTCTCAAATTTAGCAAAAGAACTTTTGCAAACACGACCCTCCGAGCCAGTTTGGCAGAACCGAGGACGAAATGTCTGTGCTCAGGTCCAACAAAAACCACTCTGTGTGCCGGTTCCCACAAACCGGCGGCTTCAGCCCTTTTGTCCCTGCTAGGGATAAACGACTGCACTTTCCCTAGCTCCACGCCACTTATTTATACCTGAGAAACGGCACTCAGAGAGCGGGAGACAGCTTCCCTGGCTCCCACCCCTGCAAATAAATTATTCCCTTTCAGATACCGACAGAGACACATGTAAGAAAGGGAGGAAAAACCTTTGGGGTTATATTTCCCTCCGTTTCCAGCGGAGACAAATACCCCTGCATCGCTCATGGGACACGCCATCCCAGGGTGACTCTTTCTGCCACCCCTGAACACAGACACACGACAGGAGCCCCTGACTGCCTAGCATGGGTACATTTGGATGATATAAGAGATACTGGAGGGGATTAGGAGAAACACCTGCTTTTTTAGTCCTCCCCTCCCAGTTAAAATACATACTCACTCTTAGCTGCCTGGGTGCAGGGTGCGCTCCGGGGCTTTGAGGGTGCCTGGCATGGCTGCTACCCGCTGTTGTGCTGTTGGGCTCTGTGACAGCACTGCCAGCCCCTGCAGCATCGCTGGTGCCAGTCCCGTCAGTGACATGGGACCAGGGAAGCTTTGCCATGGTCACAGGGTGCTCAGGGTTCTTCACCCAGCAACTGCCTGCAGCCGCTATGACAAACTGATGCAGGCTTTGGGCAACCCAGTGCTCTCCATGGGCAACCTGGTGACGCTTCTGGGAGGTAAAATACCCTCACACGGCTACCTGGCTCCTGCCCTGGACAACCAACTGCCCTCACTAGGCAACTTTGTGCAGCCCCTGAGCAACCCGGTGCAGCTGTTGGGCAGCTGTTGAGCAGCCAGACAATGCTTTCAGTCATACCATTTAGTTTTAGGTAGTCCTGCAAGATGCAGGGAGTAGGGAGTTGGACTCAATGATCCTTATGGGTCCCTTCCAACCTGAGATATTCTGTGATCCTATGAGCTCAGTGCCCTCAGTGGGCAACCCAGTGCCGCCCGTGGGCAACTCAACGCAGACTCTGTGTAACCTAGTGCCTTTGCTGGGCAGCTTGGTCCTGTCCCTGGACAGTGCCTGGTGCCCTTGATGGGGGGTACAGCCCTTGAGCATCCTGGTTCCAGCCCTGGGCTACAAAGTGCTACCTGTGGGCAAACCAGTGTCCTCACTGAGTAACCCAGTGGCAGCACTGGTACTCCTGGGCCAGCCTGTGGCCGAGCGGAGGTCTCGCTGGGGCAAGCAGGTACACCAGGGTGGGGCTGATGGCACACCAGGGGTGAGGAGACGCACAGTGTCCCCAGGACCCCCACCATGGCACAGCCTCACGCAGCACCACGGCATCACGCACCAATCACCCGGTGACAGTGGGAATGTTTCCTGGGAGAGGGCCCTTTCCCAGTTATTCCAGGCTTTAAACTGAGAAAAGGCACAGAAACAGGAGGAGCCCAGCAGTGCCAATGTTTAGCATAGCTGCTCTGGCTAACCCAAGGAGGTTTTTCTCCAACTTTTGAAAAGGCCCATCAGGTCTGCTGTGAGGACTTCTGTGTCCCACTTTATCCAGAGGAAACATTCTCATTGACTTCATTTTAGTGTTTTGGATTGACTGTCAGCACTGTGGATGGTTCATCAAATGCTCAGGCTCACACATCTGCGTTACCTTAGCCTTTTCCCGTTTCTTCTTGTTTTCCCAGCTATTGCGGCTGCAGACTGAGACTGTACCAAAACGTTTTACAGCTTCTTGTGAGCGCAGTGAGACTCTGCCCCACCGCTCCTGCTTGCTGTGCACACACACACGGAGCTGGCCTCCGCCAGAAGCCATCCCTCTGCTGCCACAGGTCTGACAGAGAAGAGAACTCCAACTCTTCCACGTACACAAAGCTTAACACACTTTAACTTTAAACACACATCTTGCTTTAGCCAGGTGAAGAATCAACTTAAACTGAAATAAGAAGTTCAGCACGCAAGTTGCTTTTCTATAGCTAAACCAGATTACATAATTTCAGCTAAAGCAAGCAAACCTCTGCCCCCCGGCAGGACATGCACCCCCTGCTCTCTGGTCCTTGCACGCTCCCAGCCTCCACCTACGCCCGCTCTCACTCCCTGCCCGGAGCTAATCTTGTCCAGATGAATCACTGCACGATGAGGGACACCACTGATTGTTGTAGGCAACCACACCATTTTTGAAGTATGTGCTAAATTAAGCAATAATAATTAGATAATGTTGTAAATGGCCCACGGGTGCTCTGCAAAGCACACAGACCAGGGACTTTCTGGGGAAGAACCTATGAGCACCGTGACGCAGAGTGACAGCAGGGGATGTCAAAATTTATGAAGGTTTGGTCCTACCATAGCATCTGGAGTGGCTTTTCGAGTGAAGGGCTGATGATGTGCCTAAAAAGCTGCAAAGACACAGCAAACTGGCACAGGTAAAACAGGCTGTGTGGCTCTTGAGCAAGAAGTTATCAACTGCCTGCAGTACCTGGTCCACAAATCCCTCATGCTCTGGCTACAACACCAAATGAAGTCAATTCACATCGTCGTCACTGACTCAAGTAATTAAACCACATCCCTTAATTGTGACTACAACTCCAATAGCAGTAAATTCACCAAAACTGCCACTCCCAGCTCTGGCAGGGCACATCCAGTTTTGATGGACACGTGAGAAGACAGTTTGTCCTAAAGCCTCGACCATTTTAGCTCAGAGGCAAACCAGAAATACGAGGGTGAAAACATGAGGCGGATGTTAAGCAGGGGTGCCAGTTTTCAGCACATCAGCCCAGGTTTGTCTGTTTGAATAA